TCCCAAGGCAATAAAACTAAATCCTCTTGTCAAATCAATAGAGTTGCAGAATTCTTGTTCTTGTGCATTATGTTGCCAATGACCTTACAACACTCATTTCCACTTTTATTGCTTTTGATTTGAATCATTTTGCATGTGAACAGTGTAACGACTACAGTACGATTGATATAAATAAAGAATTTTAATATTATTTCAAAGTGGAGTATCTTCCGTGGATTAATGCTGAGAGCCTTCGCCTTGCATAAGTTCAGGCCCGGTAGGATGGTATGCCATGTACATTTATGATTCCTCTGGTTACTTGGAATATTGATTCAAACTTGGCGAAATTGTTGGCGTATAATAATTCGACAGAAATGATTTCATCTATTGTTGTTTGATGGTGACACACAAAACTCGTTCTTAATCCAGTCACGGTTAGTTTGCAGAAGATTGACAGTTCTTGGACCAAAAAGCAAATTACTATTCTGTGGCCATGTCAGATCGAATTTATGATTTTTACACCTACATACTGGTAACGGTTTATTTAAACGGGGCGAAATTATTCATTTTGTTAACGAATATCTATGCATGCATACATTTCTTCCTTATCACGATTGACGATTAAGAAGTACAACTTTTTAATTACCTACCTCTCAATGTTAAAAAATTAGCAACATCGTCAATTTTTTTCTAATATTGTCTTTAATAAACTGAATAAGTCCAAAGTATGAATCGATTTGAGTTTTTTACAATAATCATGAATCAATTAGTCGTTTTGTTGCCGATTGTTGTTTCATTGTCAATGACACGCTCAGGCAATCTATCGCCCGTTTTGTAAGTAAAATACTAATTCTCGTGATCTGAATATTAATCGTAATGGGATTTTAATGTGTACCGTGATCGTCTGCCAGACGAAGCACGATTTATTTACATGTCGTTTTGTTCTATCGTCGATCAACGTACTCCGAAAACACACTTCCGCGTTAACATCCTTATTATTTCGCACCGCACTGAAATGCAAATATTTTGAGGTGATTGTCTTCAATTTGTGTAAAATAATTGCTAAGGAAAAATACCACACTCCTCATTTCTGCTATGATATGATATATTTTGAATTAGGGATCGTGAAGCTAAAGTATTTTATATTTGCTTGATTTATTTCCAGCTCCCTCCAGTAGGTCGGCGCGACATCTCGCTGTTCTTCGAGGTTGGGCCGAAGTTCTTCCATTAGGTGGGGGCGGACCTTGCCTGACAGGCAAAGGTACTATAGGCGCTTGCACATCTTTTAGGCAGTGTTATCCTTATTTTAAACTACCAGATCTCGGTTTATGGGAAAGCTGGGTTTTGGGAAATTATGACACTTGCAGCTATTTTAATAAAGACGGACGTCAGGTAATAAAAATAATTTCCAAAGCCTTCATTATGTTGAATGTGTTAATTGATTAACAAACATGATTTTATCATCAGGCATATGGGGTCTGCTGCACGAATCCAGCTCAATTCATACCCGCAAATGACGGCAGCAACAATACAATAATCTCATCCTTGGATGTCGGTTCTGTATCGGATACTTTCGAGAGTCCTGCTGCACAACCAAACGAATCTCCAAGCGTGTTTTATCCCAATTGGCCACCGCCGATTCCAACACATCCTCCGGACCACACGGCACCGACACATCCACCCAGCATCCATTTTCCGCCTAAACCACCAACACATAAACCTCCGACAACAAAACCACCGAAACAAGAAGTTGCAATAACTACTACGACCAAGAGGCCGGTAAGTGTAAATTATTGATAATTATTTAACAGAACATCCTTAACCAAATTTCGACACATACTAATTTATTCAGACAACGACATGGCCTACGCGACCACCGGCACAAAAACCACCAAGTTACCCACAATGGCCACCACCTATACCAACTCATCCTCCGAGTTATCCTACAAGACCGCCAATTTACCAAACAACGACGGTTGCTACGACTGCCAGACCAACTGCCGAACCACATCCTCCTTCATCAGATGTTGCTTGCGGTGCTAAAAATGGATACCAGGTTTCTGTTTCCATTTAATAACCATTTCGATAATTCTTGTTTTATCACAATTTGAAAAATGCTGTGAATTTTAATTGCAAATTCTAGTTGTCCCAACTTATATATGATTCCTTGTTAAAATCAGGATCAAGAAAGAATCGTAGGCGGACATAACGCGGATCCAAATGAATGGCCGTGGATAGCAGCACTTTTTAATGGAGGACGACAGTTCTGTGGCGGTTCTCTCATAGACAATCAACATATCCTTACAGCCGCCCATTGTGTAGCACAGTCAGTATATTTGATTTTATTTAAACTAAAGTAATTATTATACATTTGGTATATTATAATATTTTATAGTATGAGTTCTTGGGACGTAGCACGTATCACCGTACGTTTAGGTGATCACAACATCAGATCAGATCATGAAGTAAAACATGTAGAACGAAGAGTGAAGCGAGTGGTTCGTCACAGAGGTTTTGATTCAAGAACATTGGTAATTTTTATATCGATATCTGGGTTAATATATTAATCATATACTAAACATAAATATTCTTAGTACAACGATGTAGCAGTTCTAAAAATGGATTCCCCGGTGCAATTCACAAGACAAGTTCGTCCTGTATGTCTACCCAGTTCAGCAGGAAGCAGGGGTTACGCTGGTCAAACAGGAACCGTCATCGGATGGGGAAGCTTACGAGAAAGTAAATACAATTTTAACCAAACAATTATGTGAAAATCTATAATGATATATTTCCCAGGTGGTCCACAACCGTCCGTGCTCCAAGAAGTTACCATACCTATTTGGGGTAATGCTGAATGCCGGCAAAAATATGGATATGCAGCGCCTGGTGGAATAGTAGATCATATGCTGTGTGCAGGACAAGCGAGCAGGGACTCTTGCAGTGTAAATATTGAAAATGTCAAGAATTCTATATCAGTAATGCATATTACACATATTTCCATTATTAGGGTGATAGTGGCGGACCTCTGATGGTGAACGAAGGTCGATGGACACAAGTCGGTATCGTTTCTTGGGGAATAGGATGTGGTAAAGGACAATATCCCGGAGTCTACAGCAGGGTATCACATTTATACCCTGGATCACAAAGAATACAAAATCTTAAAAATAATTTCGGAGTTTTCACATATTTCAGCACAAGTGAATCGTAAAGAATATTGGTTTAGATCCAAATTTTTGTGAATGTGATACGTATTCAAATAAATAATATAATTTGTTTAGAAAATACGATGTAACTTTTATATATTCTGTATGACTTACAATTAGTTTAATTAGTGTTTACGTTAATTGATTATAATACTCATTTTGTATAGAATATATAAATGAAATAAAATGTTTTAATAAATAATTGCAAGATCAATAAATTTTAAATTATTAGGCAATAAATAATGAATTATATGGGTAGGTTCAGGATTTGTTCTGAAATTTAGGACAAAACATCTGTTTTTCGTTTGCTAATTATAAAGAAACGGCTAGACCAATTGCCGTGATCAATCAAATCAAAACGGGCCGTACATACTTTTATATTTTTTATAAAAAAAAAAATTTGATTTCATGGAAACACATAAAAGATATCACTCACCTGTTGTCGCCCCAAATTTGTCTCTAAGACAGAAACAAATATTACTAATTATCATTAATTATTAATCACTAATTTATACAATAAACAGCATACAAATCACTTCACAAAATATTAATATATAAATGAAATGATAAACATTAATTTACTTTATAACCTAAAAACTTTTGCATTATATGTCAACAACACGTATGTCAAAATAATAAATAAGATTAATACAGTTGGCAACCGTATGAACTTAGCAAAGTATTAATATAATAATGAATTTTATGTTTCTGTTGAAATTTCAAAATCTAAAAAGCAAATATATTTACAAATTTTAAAATTATATTTTAGTATTCGAAATTGCTAATAAGCACAATTATAATACTGTCATTTCATATTATTTGGCTTATTGCTATCTATATAAAAAATGTGTGTCTCGAATACTGAATATTTTAATAGCAATCATACACAAAGGCACAAGAATAAATAATATTTGAAAGTTATTTTTTTGATTTAATGTTTATATTAATTTAATATAGTATTTTCTTTGAGTAAAGTTTTTTATGCTCTTTTACTCATTTCAAACGTCTCAAAAACATACACATTTTTCCTTTGAATAAGCAAACTGACAAAATTTGAAGCTTCAAATTGAAATTCAGAACTTCAAAACAAAAATTTATTTATTATAATACGACAAATTTGTTATATACAAGAATATATCTTGAAAATATTGATATGTAAACATTTCAAACATTACTTAAGTCTATTAATATAATATAATATAAAAAACAAAGGCACAATATTTAACATAGATTTGGAAAAAATGCTAGTGTAAAAAATGTTAATATTAATTATTTAACAATTACTATTACCAATATAAATGATCCTTAAAAAAAATTAATATTAATTCAAATACGTTATTTGTACAAGTGAAATATACATGTAATTGCATATTTTAAAAGTATTACTAACTGGCAATTATAAGTACCTATATAAATAATTCTAATAAATAAAGCAAATGTAATTTATTTAAAAATGTTCCTAAAAAATATACACAGAATAATAAAAAAATAAAACGAATTAGGAAATTTAAAAACAACATTTACATAAAAATCTTACTGAATTACTAATATGTTAATACCAAAAACTTAAAACAAACCAAACAGAATCTGGTAGAAATCTTAAAACAAATAGCACTTTCACCAATAATGTCACCAATTTCATCAATTGCATACAACTAAATTCATTGAAAGAAAATAAACTTTAAAAAGACTCATCAATAGATAATGCTGCTTGCAAGAACTTTGTGAGATCAAAATGTTCCTATAATTTATTTATAAATTTTCACTATTGTCTACTTTGAAAAATTGAAGGGATAGTTTTTTTATTGTTAGAAGGCTTCAAGTAGGGTGGATTAGAAGGTGAATCAGAAAACGCTCCATGTACCTTTCCAGTCTAACATATTTAACAGTTATAAGTTTACCGTCGAACCAGCAACCGTGGAGTTTCCTATAAGCAATTCCAGCATCTTTTCTAGATGCACATTTTACATAAACACAAAGAAGTTGTTGGTCCACATAGACATGGAGAATGTTGCAATCGTCACCACATTTTTCTAATATGGCATCTTGGATAATGGACTTTAGATTTGGTATATCATCACTGCAAAAATTCATTCACGTATATATTAAAATACAAAGTATTTTAAATGAGTATTATACAAGAAATGAACAAATGAATGGATTCTTTACTTACTGTTTATCTATCATTTGTCTTATTTTAAGGCAAGGCGTTGGCGATACAGGTAAATTATTAACAGAACCCTCTTGAGTCTCGAATGCTTGTCCCTGCCAAACTTTGCTTTTGTTGCGAGGGCTCGAGCTAAAAGTAGAAAGTCATAAACTTTGAGTCAAATAGATACATGCCTTAACTGTAACATATAAGAAC